GCCCTGTTCTGCTTTGAAGGCCGTGCCAGTATTTTATTGCAGCAAGCGCCGTTTATTGCTTCCGTGGTCATTGACGCGTTCTCAGCCTCGGGGCTACAGGTCAACGTCAAACCAGGCAAGTCTGCATTTCTATTTCAGTTTCGCGGCATTTCCTCCAAAGGGGCCAAACGTACTTTGGTTCAGACGCTGCACAACACTATACATACAGTTACACACAGTTTGGGGCCCATGTGTCTTCATCGGGTTCAAGAGTACGTACATCTGGGTACTAAGCATGATATGTCAGCGTCCATGGGGCCAGAGCTGGCTCACCGTCTTTCGGGATGTTCTCAGGCCTGGAAGGTCCTCAGAAGCAAGGTCTTCAAACACAAAACCATCGAGATGCAGACCGCATTGGTTTTCTTGGATTCTCTGGTTTGCTCTGGGAGATTATTCCAATCCAGCACTTGGGGCTTTCTTACCCAGGCACAGCATAATCAATTACAGGACGGTCTTCTCCGTTATTATCGCGCTATTGCCAGACTTCCCAGAGTGGATGACACAGCCATGCCATCCAAGTATGTTCTTGCACGAGTGGGGCGCCCACCGCTCGAAGCATTGCTGTCTGCCCACAGGCTTCGCCTTTTTGGCCGCCTCCTGCTATCGGGCCCACCCCACATTATGGCTTTAGTCCACGCCGCTATGGTTGAGACTTCCAGGACCTGGGGACATATGATTTTGGGTGATCTTGGATGGTTGCGTAAGTACACCCGAAGGTTCCAGGACTTCCCCGACCCTCTCGAGAACCTACAGTCTTGGGAAATGGAGGCCAAGAAGTCAGCTGTGGGATGGAAGCAGACAATTAGGCAGGCGCTGGCTGCTCACGTTCGGCACATCCAGAGAGACACTCTTGCTCGGGCTGCCGAAGACCAGATATTCCAGATACTCGATTCGGCAGGGGTCCCACCGGCATGGGACGACCCAAGGCATCGCCTACGACAGCAGGAGAGAGAGGACGCCAATGTGTTCACGTGTATGTGGTGCTCGCGTTCTTTTTCTCGCATTCGAGGGCTTCGTACGCACATTCAGCGCGTCCATCATTCACGCGTATCGTTCATTCGCAGCTGTCAGGGTTCGTCTCTCTCCTGCTGTACATGCTTCCAGTCTTTTGCACATCGGTCAGCTCTCACGGCGCATCTGGCATTCGACTCGTTACCATGTGCGATTGGCCTCATCGCGTCTGCTCCGCAGTGCACGGTGGCAGAAGCCGCCGCACTTCAGCAGCAGGAGGACGAACGAATGCGAAGTCAACGAGCTTGTGGTCAAGGAAGGTGGCGTATCGAGGTTCCCGCTACACGACTCCCCGCCTTCTCCCGTGACCCAGAAGTTGTGGCCCTCACCTCACATCTTTCGCACCAAGACGCCCTACAGTTGCTCCTGGAAGCTGACCCCGCCATCCCTGATGACCTCATACAGCAGTATACTACTATTTGCTCGGATGTCCCCTCGGTGATCCCCACGGTCCCTGAGACCCCTTTCTATGTCTATAACCCTGGTGAATTTCCTGAGTTTCTGGCTTCTGCTGTCCCCATTCGCATTCGTCGACCTACGGCGTATGTTCTACATTTATACTGTGGGCAACGTCGCAGAGGCGACGTCCAGTGGCAGCTCGAGCATGAGACGTTTACGTCCGACCTGCACTTAGTGATTCTCAGTGTTGACATTGCCATTGACGCCGACAGGGGGGACCTGACGAAGGAGGCTACGATTCTCGAATGGGTTGAGCACATACGTTGTCACAGGGTCATCAACACGGGGGGGGGGCCTCCTTGTGAAACTTGGTCGGCTGCCCGGTGGCACGAAGGAGGCCCCCCCCCTCTTAGGTCTACTCAGTTTATGTGGGGACTACCATGGGTATCTCAGCGTCAGTCCGAGCAGCTTCGTATTGGGTCTCAGCTATTGCATGCAATGGTCTGGCTCTTGGCGGAGCATCTGAGGGCTGGCACGGGGGGTTGGATGGAGCATCCCGCCAACCCCACGTGGGCCCCTAGGGCCCCGTCCGCGTTTCGTTGGCGGCCTCTTGAGGCCCTGGCCGCGGCCCCAAGCGCCGCGGTCACATCTTTCGATCAATGTGAGCACCAAGGTCCCGAGGTGGACCTTGGGCAAATTGGCCGTGCCCCCACTACCATTTTTTCGGTTCGAATGCCCACTATGGATAGGCTCCTTAGGGCCACTCCAGGAGGCGGTAGGTGTTCCCACCCGAGAGGCTCCCATCAGACCCTATTAGGGAAAAGGGCCTCGGGTTCTTTTTACACGGCTTCTAAGAAGACTTACCCGCCTCAGATGTGCCAGGCGATCGCCTCGGCCATCGTGGATAGTGCCAGGTCTCTCCTTTCCTCGGCTGAGTCCTCCACCCCGCCCAGTGAAGACCTGGACTATCCCGAGGGCGATGATGATATCCGTGAATCGCTTGCTGTTTTCTATGCCACGTTTCAGGTTTCGTGCCCACCGCAGGAGAACCCTGCTCCTGACTTTGCTGGTTTCTCGCGCAAGGATGCTTGTAGAGTTGACCCACGTGGGTTTGTCTACCCAGCGGGGGGCGCGGTGCGAGTGGGGACTGCCCGGCGGTGCGCCGTTAGTGACCCTCGCACCGTTGCTCCCCGGCCCCGCGCACGGCGCGGAGAGTTCAACTCTGCCTCTGGCTGGATGGAACAAAATTGTAGAGTTGACCCAGAATTTCACAGGTTCGTAGATTCGGACGATGAAGTGGAAGGAGCTGAGGACAGATCTCAGCAGGATTTCACGCCTCCCCCGCATGGCGAGGAGGAGGCTGAGGCAGAGCAGCAGTACGCAGATCTTTTGCATGGCTCCCCAGAGGAGCAAGCTGCTGAGTGGCTCCTTCTCCCTCCCTCCCCCCCCCCGTCGCCTTCGCCTCCTCCTCCCGCCCCTCTCGAGCTCACCACCCAGCAGCGTGACCGCATTGCGGCCCACCGAGCTCTCGCCAAGGAGAGACGGGCGGCTCGTCGCAGAATCCAGGTGCCCACCCCATCGTGCTTCGCCCCGGCCTCCCCCCCAAACGCGGAGGGTAGGCGACAGGAGGCGAGGGAGGCCGCACGTTCGGCCTTACGCAACTGGCTCATCAGCAACTAGTTGGATGGGTTGGCACCTCTTTCTTTTCTTTTTCTTTGTTGTTGTGCATTGCTCATTGCATGTGTAGCAGCAGAGGTATGGAGCACGGATGTCCCAAGCCCCGCGTTGCATCATCATCGTCCTTCCTCCTCCTTCTCTTCCTGCTCCACCCCCGCCCTCTTTCTTCGGAGTAAGTCCATGCACCGACATGGTTTTTCCAACGTCGTTGATCGGGGCCCGAAGGAACCAACCTCCTTGCGAATGGGCGAGTATATCATCGTTACTCGCGCGCCCCCCCCAGGGCACCGTGGGCGCTGCTTTCGCCTCCTTTGGGAAACATAGGAATGCGTTCTTTCCAATGGCCGATGCAGCGCACCCTTTCGCAAGTATGTGTAATCAGTATGGGATGCCTAAGGGTTTTCCGTTGCTTGCCGACCACGTCGGTGTATGGATCTCCGTCTGCTTCAACGGGACGAATCCATGCACGGATGCGGTTTGGGGGCTATACTCGGAGGTGGATCGACCTCCTACCCTGATACGTCGATCAAGGAATCGGCCGTTTTCGGTTCGCGAGAGGGCGTCGCGGCCGTCATTGTTGCGGGTTCAGGTCCGTCGGTTTCGGTCCCAGGCAGTTTTCATTGAGGGGAGGTTTGCTAAAGGGTTGTTTGTCCAGCGCCGATATACGGGTCTGGCGGGGCTGTCTAGCCCCCCGTGTGCCGCGTGTGCGCGGTTTACGTAGGCGTGCTCTCGCGGTGGCAGGGCGCTAGGTTTGCTGGGGGCCGGTGATTATATTTGTCATGGCCTCTTTCAATATGTTGTTTCTGGTTCTACTGGATTTTCCTGACGCGGTGAAGCTCCCTGCGGCCATGTCGGTGGATGGAAATCTTCAGCCTACTCGTCGTTCCCCCTTTCTTCCTCCCCCTATTCCCTCCCGAGTCCTCCTCCCTCCCTCCTTTTCCTCCTCCCTCCACCTCCTGCCTCTCTTTCAAAGTTCCTTCCGCTTTTGAAATTCCAGGATGCGTTCTGGTGCGACTTAGATTTGTCACGACGCAACAGTCACGTTGATCCGGCGCGTTGAAGTTCCAAGATTGTTGATTTTTGCACGGCTGAGGCTTCTCTGACAGTTTTTGTCGAATGGGCCACTTACCGTAATGAACATAGATTATTGTAGGGACCTACGAAGCGGGAGCTGAGTGTGAGGGTTGAATGCAGAAAAGTTGATGCGTTTTGGGTTTGCATTGGTCCTCCTCCTTCCTCGTCCTGGCAAAACGTGGCTGAGGTGTTGTGAGTCAGCTCAGCTATCCTGGCCATCATGAAAGAGTGGTTCTCCTCCCCTTGCTTCTCTCCCCATCCACTGGCATGATTCGTTTTCGAATGTTTGCTTGCGTATGTGAGCGTTCTGGTTTGCATGCCCATGTAATTTGCGTGAGTTAGCGGAAATTGTGCACGAATCACACCGCCCCCATCGGCGAGACTATCTTAGTCGCCTACACATTGGGAAGTGGCCCAACTTGCTTAACAAGGCTGAGCTGAGCCAGAGGGCTACTTACTTTTTGTAACGACTGCGTCGGATAGCCCGTTCCCGTTCCCGCTCCTCCACTTCCTCTTCTTCCTCTTTCATTCCTTTCTTCTTCAGTCCTGTGGAGGCGGTGGTCACGGTGATCCCAGTAATCCTCCTCGTTCTCCTCCTCCTCCTCCTCGCCCTCCCCCCCGTCCCTCCCCCCTTCCTCCTCTCCCTCTCCCCCTCCCTCCCCCCTTTCTTCTCTCCCTCCCTCCCTCCCTCCTCCCCCCCCCAGTCAGGTACCCCTCCCCCGCCCTCCGTCGCCGCCCCCCCACCCCCCCGGCCGGGAAGGAGAGGGGGGGGCGGGGGGGGCGAGGCGCCGCCCTCTCAGGTCGCCGTCGCGGGGATGAGCTGCCCCTCCGGCCCCAGGACGGCGCGCTTCGCCCCCCTCTCGAGGAGATCGGGCAGGGGTCGAGGATCGAGGAGAAGGTCCAGGAGCAGGAGATCGAGGATGGATCGAGGATGGATCGAGGAGGAGGCGGAGGCGGCGGAGGAGGAGGAGGAGGAGGAGCGCCCCGCCGTGGCGGCGTCGTCTCTTCGTCCAGTCGCCGCCTCGGCCCGGCCTCGTCGCCTCCGTCGTTTCCAGTCGTCATCGGTCGGTCGTCGTTGTCGTCGTCGTCGCCTCTTCTCGGGGCTCCGTCGTCGTCGTCGTCGTCGTCCTGGGGCTGTCTGGGCGAGGGGTCTGCTCCGCCCGGCCCCGCCCCCAAGAAGGCCCAAGAGGGACCCCAGGACACCTGGCATCGCTCGGACGTGTGCATTTCTCCTTCGGCGAGGGCCATCGAGGAGCATCCTTGATCATTTGGCGAAAAAACCACGCACAAAACCGAACAAAAACACAGGGAATAGACGTCCGAGCGATGGCGAGGACAGCGCCCAGGTGTTCCCATCGCCGATCTGGCGGCGACGTATCGCCGATTCCGGGACGATGATTGCCATCCGGAGCCGGCCCGCCCCCAAGGTTGCTCTTCGATGGCCGGGCCGGTTGCCAGGGTGCAGCCTGGCGGAGGGTGGCGTTCGTGCGCGGCGTGCTGCCGCCGAGGGGGACTGCCTGCTCGTGGCCTGAAGGTGTCGCGGCCCGAAGGTGTCGCGCTGCCTGGGAGCGGTGCCCGCGGGCACTGGCTGCCAGACGGCCTCATTGGCAGCGCGTGCCTGGAAGGCCTGGGCATGTCGGTGGAGTGGTGCAGACGAAGGGGAGGGCCGCAGGCAGGCGAGAGCCCTATTTGCTCCGCCTCGCATGTCCCAGGAGTGCGAGGTCGGGAGGTCGAGGGTGAAGGGGGCAGCGGAAGAGGGGGGAAATTATGGTAAGCGATGAGGAGAAGAAGTTGGAGGAGGACGAGGATGGGGCTCCTATCCGGTGGGCAGGAAAAGGACGATCAGGATGACGAGGGGGAGGACGAGGGACGAGGAGTACCTCCCTAATCTGTAGGAACGGGAAGGTGGTAGGATGAGGACGAGGAGGGGTCCAGGGATCGGGAAGACGCGAATGCAGTAATGAACGGACTTCAAAGAGAAATATACAAGGCTCGTGATGAAGCAGCGACAGAACGAGAATCCAAGCGTGCAGTATCGGACCCAGGCCGAGCCGAGGAGGATATTATCCGACGTCTAAGAAAACAGATCACCACGCTGGATGAGCGTTGTTGTCAAGAAGTAAAAAAGGACGACCATTTGCAGGAAAACCTGGACGGGAAAAAAAAGGCATGGGTGGCCGAATATTTGCTCGCATGAAGGAATAATTCAAAACGCCGCTGTCATGAGCAACGGGCATGCCCAGGCTGACATGATTGATACCCAGTGGATTACAGAGGCCGCGACAGCTGTGAAAGATGAGGCCCTACGGCTAGCTGAGACTAGTTTTCTTCGAGCAGAGGACTTGCATCAAACGGTCGACTAACTTCTCGAAGCGAGCGCAGTGCCTGCTTTCCCGGTTCCCAGCACCCGATGACGAAGGCAAGGCCAATTAATGATTTGGGAAATATCGAAACATATTCCGTGGTGCCCACTGAAGTCACTCACGCGGATGGCGCTCATAATGAGGCAGACAAGCGGGCCGAAATGAGGGACGACAAGAGCCGTGGCCAACGGATTGACGCCATAGCAGATATGATTGTAGAGGCGCGCAAGTACCATTTCACCAGTACGAACGATTCATCGAACTACCATTTCTGTTTGCCGGTAGGGAAGCATGCCATCTTCAGGAGAAAACCTGCAATTGATGGTAAGGTCAGAGCCGCGGAGATGTTATGTTCGAATCATTATTGTTGCAGGTCGTTGCGCTAACAAAGCAAGCGTTAATGAGCGGACTGACCAACACCGATCTCGTTCAGAGTGGAATGGCCAGAGTGTATAGGCGGGTCGAGTGTTTCACGTTTGATTACATGTAGAACAAAGCTTGCCAGTTCCCCATCCGCGGGGCAGCAGCAAGGCTAAAGCTCACTGCCCGGGAGCATGAGGAGGACATGCTTGAGATATCGGCGGAATTCATTGAGTCTGATGATGGGGTGTGGATGCCGGTCCACGTTGATGAGCCGAAGGGAGGTAGGAAGTGCACGAGGATTTCTCGGTTTTGCCTACGGTCAATGGGAGGTGTTTGGGGTCCACGCCGCGATGCCCTGCCGATCCGTCTGTCTCGCGTTGCGGTCAGGCTGGGAGGAATAGCCGAAGCAATGTTTGCTTGCCCTTGGGACTGACCATAAGGCCAACGTGAGATGTGCTGAATGCAAAGAATGCGTGTTCTTCTGTCCAAGGAATAGAGGGCTAAGATGCGGGCGCTGATTTTTGGGCCTGTGTCGCCTGAGGTCTTGTCGTTGAACGGGCCCCCGGGGCTCTCCTTGTCGGAGTGCGCGGAGCAGTGCTGCGATTGTGACGGCGCGGCGTTTTCGGACATTAAAATGAGAATGAAGCGAAACAACATGCGTTTACTGTTTGAGGTGAGAGGTGCTTTCGCGTGGTTTCGATGGATGCGTCGTCGCAAGATCCTCGTTGACCCGGAGAAATGCTTCGTCGAGAGAGGTGATGACGCGGGCGGGAAGTCCGTCGACGAGGTGCACAGACTCAGAGAGTTGCTAGCCTGGGTCATGATGCGCCGTTCGGGGATCGTCGCCGACTCGCGTGGCCAGGTTCTAATATCATGTCTGATATTGCCGATGAAGAGATAGATGGAGGGAGGGAGAGAGAGGCTGAGAGAGAGAGAGGGACAGAGAGAGAGAGAGAATATATATATATATATAAATCGAGAGGGAGGGAGAGAGAGAGAGAGGGAGAGAGAAAGAGAGAGAGAGAGAGAGAGGAGAGAGAGAGAGAGAGAGAGAGAGAGAGAGAGAGAGAGAGAGAGAGAGAGAGAGAGAGAGAGAGAGAGAGAGAGAAAACATACAACCATTAGAAAAGAGAGAGAGAGAGAGAGAGAGAGAGAGAGAGAGAGAAACAAAACATAGAGTGAGAGAGAGAGAGGGAGGAGAGAGAGAGGAACAAATAGAGCGAGAGAGAGAGAGAGAGAGAGAGAGAGAGAGAGAGAGAGAGAGAGAGAGACGGGCGTTATATCCCGAGGCCACCGGGCGCAATAGGGTGTTCAACGCTTCCCGAAGGAAGGGGGCCGCGTCCCGCGGTTGTTTTGAGCGAGCAGCAGGCGCCATTGAGATCGCGGATGAAAGGGGGGATCTGGCGTTGGAGGGCGCATCTCGCGGGGCTGCATTTGCCCCGTCTACGCAGCAGGGGCGCAGGGGCCCGTCGAGGCGCAGTTTCGGCATGTGTTCCAGGTCTGTCACGGGGCCCCCCGCCGCCGCGAACAGCAACGTTGCGCCCTGCGCGGCAAGCAAGAACGCAGGTGCGTCCGTCGGGCGCGCCCGTCGCGCAGGGGGATTTCCCCGGCGTCTCCGCGACTGGAACTACCGCCTGCACTGGCGACGGCCCATGGCCAGAACGCACTTCGGATGTCACTGTATCTGCAGGCGAGTTTGAATACCGCAAGTTGAACATAACGGAAGAGGAGATGCCTGGCGCTGAGGTCTTGGTGACGCGCGAGTCCAGAGCACGCGTTAATCGTGATCCCTTATAAGGGGCTGGAGGGGTGATTCTCTCGAGGAGTGGCCCGCTGCTCGTCGAGGTGTCTAGAGCGTGCGACATGGGGCTGGGCGAACCAATGGCATCGTGGATGAACGCGCATGATTGCAACGCAATACGCACGCATCTTTCCCCAGCCGCGCGAGCGCGGCCCCGTGCACGGGGAGATCGACGGCGGCAGTTGTAGTCCACGCAGATCAGACGTGGGAACGACCGCATGAATGGCAAAGCGCATGTCGCACGCGAGCGGCGAGCGTTTGAAACTGCCCCGACGCGGGGCCCCCGGCCCTAAGCCCCGGGCAACGCGCGGAGCTTGAAGATGTTTGGTCGCAGCACGGCCCGCGCGTCTCTGGAGTGGAACGGCCCGCCCACGAGACACGAGCGGGAGAACGATTGTCTCACAAGAGCGAACGCCCCAGAGAAGAACTAGCGTCGGAAACTGTGATCTGACTCGAATGGTTTGCGATGTTCGTGATCATTCGGGGGTGGGCCGCGCCGGTCCCGCCGCAGCTCGCGCGGGGCCTGGACTACGAGCGGCGCGCGCCAGTGGCTTGCTCTGCCGTTCGTGGAGTAGCGTGGCGCGCTGGCCACGCGGCCCCCAGGGGCGTGCGTCGCGTTGAATCTGACCGCGACAGCGCGGTCAAAATGATCGCATGATGTCCAGAACTGCGTTTCTCGGTCGATCCGAGCCCGCCTGCTCCACGCCGCGGGCCCTTGACGTTTTGGAGCGGGGCGTTGCTGACCCCGAGAGCCGGGGGCGCCGATCGCAGCGGTTGGATGGAGTGGACTAACAAAGGGGCACACATGAGTTTTGAGACAACATCGCGGTCGGCAGACCACGCGACGCCTGGGAAGCGATGGCATTCAGTGCGTCTGGCGAAGAGAAGGGGGGCTGCCCCCCAGGTCAACGAAGCGCGCTTCGACCGTGAGCTCGAAGAGGCATTGAAAGACGCCGGGCGTGCTGAAGTTGCGGTCAGTTTCAAAGTGCGCGCTGCTGGCTGCGGAAGTGCGGCACCCGCCCCCCGCCGCTTGCCATGGCCTACCAGGGCCCGGCGATGTCCAAAACAGTTGGGGCGACTCACGCCTCGACAGAAAGCGTTGACGAAGCGGTTGCAACCGCAGGAACAATCGGCGTCAGCGCGCGGCTTTTCGTAAGTTCTAGATTGAGGCAGTGACGAGGTGGTTCCTGGCGGGGACAGCAACGGGAGCAGGGGCGATCGAGAATCTCGGGGGGGAACATGGGATCGCACCATGGAACAAGAACATGCGCCTTGGCGCCTGGGCGACAAGGAGTGGCTCGCGAGGGAAAT